CAAAAATGTCAGTATCTAGATGTTCAAAGCAAGGAGACACACCTCAAAAGACCTTTAGCTGTAATTGAGTCCTCAGCCTCGATAAAGCGCTTTACAAGTGCAGGCCGTTTACCATTTTTACCATTTTGCTCTGGCTAGAGCCTGTCGCCCTCCGCTGTTGCCTGGCTGTGTTGCAACATGATGTCATCTTGCTCTGCTCTCGGTCATCTCAGAATAAAAATCGTCACATTAGCATTGTAACTATAATGTGTAGATATATTTATAGGCCTATATGTTTCATTAACATTTCAACCCAGCAGCTGAAAGTGGGCAAGTCTGTCAGGAACTCTCTGGCCACTTTTTCTCCCCATTCTGCCCCTGCATACATGCCCTATATAGGCATATACACATGTTGTTAGACACCAATGGAACCCCATATTTTGAAGCAAAAAAGGGTGTACCAAATTATTGGCACAGGGAGATGAATTTGATTGCAACAACTGAAAAACATTCATTGTTTTTCTTTCAGTTCACAGTACAACTTAATGTGAATGTATACGTTTTCATGGCACTGTACATACTGTACTCGGCTGTGCTCTAATGTGTCTAATCATCATCACTTTGACTTCTTCTGAAACTTGTATGGCTGCTGTACTGCAAATCCTTGCTCGTGAACCCCAGTTCAGTGTCTCCGTGTCCTTGCAGGACGTATGAGGACTTTAGTGGTTCCTCTTTGTGGTTAGGGGGCGTCCTTCACAAAGGAAGAAGCTGCTCTCCTTCTATTCGCTGAAACTGTAGGTGTGTCGGGGGTGGGTGTCTGGGCGTGCGCGTTTTCTCCCTGCTGGCCGTCACTCATTACGTCACTTCCGGTGAGGTGGGAGCACCATTTTTCGGCTGCGCGTGGATGTGTAAGGGTCTTTGACAGGAGCAGCAGCGGCGGCGGCACAGCGGGGAGAAAACGTGGACGTGATCGGCGTCAGAGACAGTGACCGCCGCCCCCCTACTCTTCTTCTTTCTCCTTCCAGGGACCCCGCGTCAGCGCAGCGAGTTTTTACCAGGGAGATGACTGCTTTCGATTGTGGTATCCGCTCTAAGGTACAGATCTTCATTTTATTCAAGGAATGCACCCTGCTCCTGCAGGAGCTGAGATGTTTTCATCACAGAGAAGGTTGGGTTACATACCTTCCAAATACAAATGTACACCAGCTTAATAATGCATTGATTCGTGCACTTGCAAAGTTATCTGGGGCTGACTTCTGCCGCACATTGCCAAAATCTTGCAGGAATCTGTAAGCATCGTTGTAGTGCAGCTACAGGGTGGCTAAACAGGTTCTAGTTAGTACGCCTGCGCAGCTCATCAACGAGCATATCGCTCTGTAGTGTAAGCTATTCATTATAGAGCCAAACATTCACCACAGAGGTTGTTCATTGGCCTGTTATTAGTGGCTGTGAACAGTCTGGATTTGTCATCGCTACTGACTGCGATAAAAGGTTGTTTGTTTGTTATTAATGAGGAAGATGAACTAAATACAGTTAAATTCTCAAAAGTTTATTGTAGAGATGAGCAAAAAAAATAAGAACCAAACGTTTTTTCCCTATATCAGTTTTGATTAATAATCAGCAGTTCCAAAAAATGTTTCACCTTGTTCAAGAATTCCCATAATTTCAAATATTTAATCACATTTTCTGTTGAATTCAAAACTATCTCTGGCAGCAGCTTTTTCTTTTATATGTTTTAGTTCTTAAGAAAAATAGAATTGGCAGGTTGGGCTGTGAAAAAAAAAAAAAGGCAAGAAGCTGATCGGTATGAGCAGAAAAAGCCTGATCAATGGATCACTGGAATATCGTTGATTTTCATTTAAGAGCATAAGGATTGTATGTGGATTCCCAAATGTGCACCTTACCAGAATAATGTAGATTTTGAGATTTGTGCACAAGTATTCAGATTTTCATCATTTATTAATTTACTTTTTTTCAAGTTTACATCTCGTGTGGAGCTTTTTCTACTTTGAGAAACAGTGACAAGCAGTGACTGTATGCAAAAACTTTAGTGGATAGCGCTGGACACTGTGTTGTGTGGTTACTTCTTCATAACTCTTAAGATTGGCCTGTCTCTCTTTAGTAAGTTCACTTCATGTCTGTCACATTCAGGTGCAACACAGTGTTTATTTGGTCATTCAGATGATGAAAACAAAAATGTAATTTCTCAGAGAAATTCAATACTGCCTAAGAGTAATAACAAAATTATTTTTAATACAGAAATATTATGATATATCCTTGGTAACTATCGGGTGGACTTGGCAGTTGTCCACCTGACAATAACTGACACCCTTCAAACAGGTTAGTGCTGTGTCCTAAAGTTGGGTGGAAGGAAAACGTTCTTGTGATGGTCGCAAACAAACAATTATATATATACGTTTGCCCATGCCTGTCTGGCACCTAAGCAAAATAAATAAAAAGAAAAATAAGTATTTGTGAAAGAAGCGGCTTGTTGGCAGAGTGATGTTTTGAAGCACATTAATGAAAAGTTGAGTGGAGGGAAAAAGTACTTGTACTTTTTCATCTGCAACCAGCTATGTTTTGAATTTAAAATTTTTGTTTTAAATGCAAGTAATTAGAAAGACCTTTTATAAATGATTACAATTTTAAATGGTGACAAAGTTCTTCGCTGTCATTTTCAGATTTAATCAATCTTTCAATCATAAATAATTTACAACCACTTTTCATAGAATTGAATATTCCACAAAAGGCTTAACAGAGGTAGGTTAATAGCAAAGTAGCAAACAACAATCACACCAGAGAATGCTAAGATAAATAAATATATTAAGAATTGTAAGAGAGCTAGAATAAAATTGGATAGAAAATGCAGAACTGATGGAGCACCAAAGGCTAATATGAATTATGCAAAAATAATAAAACTCTAATACAGAAAAAGGTTCAGTCATAGTACAAACAAATAGATAAAATATGAAATTATGTTAATCTATGATTAAATCTAGAATAGCTTTCAAAAAATAGAATAAAAATACATAATATTAAAATCAATACAATCTAAGAACAAATGTAGTAGCAAAAACAAGTAAAAGTTACGTAACATTTAAAAAATAGATAAAGTAAATAAAAAAAACATACATCGAAAATAAGACAGAAGTGCAGAAGGTGAAGTAAAAGCTAGGCTAAGAAGGAGAGCATTTAATTGTAAACATGCAGAGGAAATGCTCTTTACGTTATGTCCCATGGTGTTTGCTCAGCTATAAAGTCAGGCTCCTCATTGGCGTTCTGTCTACCTTCGGTTCAAAGATCACCACTTAAAAGTTCCCTTATCTAACATCGTGAGTATCTTTAAAAATCCAATTGTACTTGTGTAATTCATCAAAGTGACAGCGCCTTTTATTGTTTGGGTTTTTGTCGTCTACTATTAGAAGAACAAACACCTTCATAGGTCTGGAAATGTTATATAATCTCAGAACCAAACCCTGATCAATTAATTAAGAAGTTGGCCCTTTAAAAAGTTAAAATTCAGTTTATTTTTAACTAATAGGTAATAACCAATTTGGTGGCGTTACTGCAGAAGGCTGTGTTTTTTTTCCAGATCTAAAACTTCCTTCTGTAGTTTTTTGTAAACATTCAGTTTCCTAGAAGTTAAACCAACGTTTTATACTTTTACAATTTTGAGGTGTTTTTTTTTCTCGCCTGTTGTTTTGTGTCAAGCATCTACCTGACTTAAAAGGGTGTCCTAACAGTCTCAGCTCTGAGCTCCCAGCTATAAATAGTAACATGCATAAGCTCTAACCATGTTTATAACCAAGAATTTTGGATTTGTCAGTATTTAGACATGAAATCATGGCGGAAAAATGTAGCCTCTTCTTGACTTTTGTTAAAGAGATAGTGTGAGGCATTAAGCTTTAACACCATCATGTAGGCAAGATTTCACCATGTGGTGAGAAGTCATTATTTTTCCCTGTTTTGTCCTGCTTCTTTAGAAAGTCGGAATCCCAACGCCATAATCGCCATTTTTTCAACTTAAATGGTCTGGGCTTTTGTTATTTATGTGAATTTATGAGCATTTTGATCAGCCCAGTTGTTTTCTCCTGGATGTTCGGTGATCCTAGCTTAATGTAGAGGTGATCAAACTTTTGTTGTTGCTGCCCAACAAATTGTGGAATTGCCTACAGTGGCTCTCAAATGTCTACACACCTCTGTAAAGTAAAAAAAGAAGAACGGTGCAACAAAATGATCGCAAAAGGGTGCACACCCATAACCCAATACTGAAGAACCTTCTGATTTATCGTTAGCATTCTGTCTTCTTCATTTCACACCTCTAATAAATTACAGTATGTTAAATCTGTTTACCCTGAAATAAAGTTCAGCTATCCTTGTTGGCCTAGTTTGCAGAAACGACCCAAAGAATCAAACGGATCCCATTATACAAATCGTATCAGTCAGGAGAAGGGTACACAGAAAGATCCACAGCATCAGGTCTAAAGTGGAACTCAGTTTTATTGCCAGGAATTTAACGACTGACTGTCAAACACGTCCTCCTACTGGCTCCATGTCCAACTGTACATTAAAAATGTACTCCTGCTGCCAAATCACGCAGTGATCTTTTAGCTCTTTTTAATTTATGGTATACTCTATCACCCTATTCACTCATGATGCAATCTTTCCTGCTTCACTTTGAGATGAGCGCTCTTGGTTCTGAGTTCGGTCTCACTGACAGTGAACTGACCACCTGGTTACTATAGTGGCTAAAACACTATCTCATCTAGACGGCCGCTTATGCATACCCCCTCAAATGTTTTCTATTTTGTTGGTCTACAAGATGTTTATATTCTGTTGCCAGGAACAAAAAGGAGAACTTTCATTAAGAGCCCTTGCTCTACTTAGCCAGGTTTAATGGATGGGTGTGCCCATGTCTGTTTCTAAGTAAAATGTCTTTGAATGTTTAAAAGATTAAAGTGAACCCACGAAAAAAAAACCAACATGGCTATTATAAGGAGAAACACTCTGTGTTGCAAGCAGGCTACACGGTGGCGCAGTTGGTAGCACTTTTACCTTGCACAATAAGGTCCTGGGTTCAACTCCTGGCCCGGGGTCTTTCTGCATGGTGTTTGCATGTTCTCCCTGTGCATGCGTGGGTTCTCACCGGGTACTCCAGCTTCCTCCCACAGTCCAAAAACATGACGGTTAGGTTAATTGGCCTTAGATGTTAGGTTAATTGGCCTTAGATGTTAGGTTAATTGGCCTTAGATGTGAATGAGTGTGTGCATGGTTATTTGTCCTGTGTGTCTCTGTGTTGCCCTGCGATGGATTGGTGACCTGTCCAGGGTGTACCCTGCCTCTTGCCTGTAGACTGCTGAAGATAGGCACCAGCTTCCCCGTGGAAGCTGGTTCCCCTATGGAAAAGGCAGTATAGAAGATGAATGAATTAACTTTGTGCTGCAGCTAACAATTTCCATTTAAGAAGGTTTAAATTTGTCATTTAAAATCTCATCCTAAAAAAATACTAAAACTGTCAGATCCCTTTGCTGGAGGGCCAAATGTGTACCATTTTTGAACTAAGGTCAGGGGCCACACTAAATTGCCCTCATAGGCCGCATATGGCCCCCGGGCTTCACTTACTTCATCCTTCAGCTTGAACTGTGAAAGCAATGATACCATCTTACACTGTGTACATAGCAGCTGAATGGTACCTTCTAATACCAAGCAGACAAACCAAGCTCCTGATAACTCACGCACACTGCAGTGAACCTATAGAGAAGTCACATGAGCTGCGCTTGACATTGCCACGGCAACCAGTTATTTGTTTACACTGCTGTAACCGAATGTGACATCAGGTAGTGTTTATTGATCTACACAAAGCTTATTAACTTTTTCACTCACTGTATCTGTTCTTTGCTCTCACATTAAATATCTAATGCTTTCCCTTTTTTAATTCCTTTTAGGCACTTAAGGCTTCTCTCGTAGCGATATATAGGCTCGATAACTGGCAGTCAGCCACATATGATACGCTGGTTGTGGTCACATGGCGCACATAAAGGCTGGCTGCACAGTGAGTGCCTCCTCTGGTTAGAACCAGGCACCAACTTGACTTTACATCGGCACCTTGTGGTCCATTGACCCAATAAGCCCGCTGGGAATTCTTCTGGCTTTCACATTTAGCCCCTATGGCCCTGCAGAGAATTATTTATATACCATGGCACAATAATTGGAGAAAATGTTGGACAGCAGTGACATTACCAAACTGGGCATTTTTCCAGAGTAATTAAAAAGAAATTGCAAAAACTGTACAGGGAGGCTGCCATGAGGCTGACAGCACCGCTGAAGGAGCTGCAGGAATTTCCAACAAGGGGCGAGTTTTCTACATGTCACAACACTCTTCTTTATTCTCCATTTGTCTAGGCTAAGAAGTAGGGTTGCAATAGAGAATCCCTTTCCTCCACAGAAAACATCCAGGTCTGGATAAGGCCTCCTGAAACTTGAAGGGAGGGAAAATGTGTTGTGATCAGATGAAACCATACATAAACTATGGAGCCACAGCTCAAAATATATATTTGGCACATAAAAGGTTCATCATCAAAAGAAGACCACACCCTCAGTGAAAGATGGTGGAGGTAGTATCATGATCTGGGGTTACCTTTCTGATTTTTGTCAAGATGGACAAATTTATTTATAGTTTTAATTTTATGCTTCTACAGAAAAATTATGATTGATTTAAAAGAAAATTCTGTGGGACATTAAGCCAGTGTAATAGATCTGTCTGATAACGAAAGTATAGAAAAGAAAATGTTTGCATGGAGTCTCCAGTGCTTCAGCTGGCAACGGCCGATTGTTTTTTCATTAACAGTTTCTGTGCTGCTGAGCTGCTCCTCTCTTTGAAAGCTTTCTCTTTAGGAACCAGAGGCAGGTATTCAGCTCCTCCCCTGTTCAGGGCCAGGAGAGGCATAGATGAGAACAGCGTTTCAAGCAGGCTGCCTCAGCTGGGCTCCTCAAACAGGACTTTCAGGTTCCCTACCCAACTGAACAGACTCAAGGGTTTATCATCCATCTCAGTCGTGGGGGCCTTTTGCAGAAATGTAAGCAAGTTGAGCAACAGCAGCAAAAAAAAACTAATTCTCTGGTCTTTGCATCAGAGATGGGTGGAGTCTGGTGCAGCTGCCTGAGGTTCTGACGCTGAAAGCTTTTATTTGCATGCAAATTAGTTTAAAGACAAGGTTAGAGGACTTAGGGAAGCTGCGCGCACATGATTGGAATAGATCGGATACGTTTGGCCACACTTTTATAGAAAACACATTCTCTAAAAGCATAGAATGGACTTTACTTCTCATTCTACAGGGGCTCTTAAAAGTGTATGCATCTGTTAAACTTCCAGGTGATGTATAAAAATAAAACCATGATGAATAAATTCAAAACATTTTGCACTTTTAATGTGACATTAATCCTGTGCAATTTTAACTGAAAAACAGACAAATCTGTTAAAAGGGGGAAAGCATAAAAAGCTTTAATTACCCATCTCCGTTAGTGTGCACAGCCTTTAACTTATATTTTGTTAAAGCACAATTTTATTTTTTATTTATTGCTTTTAGTTTTGTTCGCTAGGAATCTGTCAGCATCCCACATCTTCACTGGACAATATTTGCTCACTCTACCTCTCAAAGGTTCTCCAAATCCTTCAGGTTTCCCTGGATTAAAGCTGTTGTTGACTCATATTTTTTGTGTGCTTGGACTGATTGTAATGTTGAAAGTAAAACCCCTCTTCATCCTCAGGTTTCAAGCAGACACCTGGAGGTTTTAAAGTCAAAACTTGACTGGTATTCGGTTAATATTTGAAGTCAATTTGACAAAAAAAAAAAGTTAAAGTTTGGTTTGGTCAGACCATACCAGCTATGCCAGAGATGTAAGCAAGGCCTTGATGTTTTGTTAGAAGTTTCTCGAGGTTATTAATTGATTTTTTTTTCACTGTAATGTGGTTTATAAGTAATGTTGTGGATATAGTTACCCTTCTCCTGACTGATACTTTTGTACAATTTGATGTTTTGATACTTTTAAATCTCTCTGCAAACTTTAGCTGAAATGAGCAAATGTCAGAAAGACGCTAACATCCTTCCACGTTCAGGTTTATCAGTCTTGATGTTAGGGTGTGAACTCAAGAAGATGGAATCCTGAAACTGAATCAAAATGGGAATCAGGAAAGTATTTTTTAAGGGTGTATACACTTTTGCAAGTTTGTTGCAGTTTTTTTTATATTTTTTTAGTAATATCCTTTTGACAGATTAATTTATTTTTTGTTGTGGTTGAATTATACTAGATAAATGTAAAGATGGGCCCTTTTTACATCACAAAATCCTATCATTTTCCAGTTGTGTGTACGCTTTGGAGAACCACTGTGCATGCTAACATGCATGAACACGGAACATTTCCTCTCTTACCAAACCACCTTGGTTGTGGTGACCTCTCTGATCCTTTTGTTTTCCAACTTGTGCCCTACATTGGCCAGCTTCGACCTTCGTCTGACACCCAGCCTGCCCAACCCTCTTGAGCCTTCCTTATGTTAAAGTCCTGAGTTGAATAGGATTGTGGGCCTGCAGCCAGACTTACAGTAAGCAGCTCGGGACAGGAGATTGTCTGGATAAATACTGCTTGATAAAGGATGCAGTATGTAAGCTGAATTTTCTTCAAGAGATGGGGACTGGAGTGGGTTTGGAAGTTTTACTGCTGCAATGCTTGACATTGAATTAGATAGGCTGCAAAACGCCTTCAGTCATATATCCCTAGCTGGATCTATGGTCAGATTCTTATCATATATATATATATATATATATATATATATATATATATATATATATATATTATATATATATATATATATATATATATATATATATAAACATATAAGTATATCAGTTTCTTACATTATTTAACGTATAGTAAAGTATTATTTAAATTATTTAAAGTATAGTAAGTAAAAAGTATTAAATTGCCTCGATTTTTTTCACTCATGTTACAGCCAAAATCCTCAGTGTGTTCGAAAAAGTTTTTCTGTGACCAACAGAAGGTAGTGCATGAATGTGAAGTGGAAGGAAAGGGATGCATGGTTCAACGGTTTGTTGCAAATAAAATACCAAAAGAAGAGCATTAATCTGAGAAGCAGCCAAAATGCTCATGGTAACTCTGGAGGAGCTGCCTCATCAATTGACATGTGTCACATGACGCTTTTGACACTCCTCATGGATCCGTCATGCTGAAGTGGGCTGAGATAGGACCGATTACTGGACTCCAGGCTTCAGCAGTTTTGTCAGATCCGTTGATGCTCCTGAACAAAACCTGGGTGCTGTATTCTGGAGCGTTGGCTGCCAACCAGACAGCTAATGTGGATTGTTTGATAGAAAACACTAGGGAGCTATTATTTTTTTTTTGCATCTGACTCCACTGTTGTGTCCACAGATCTGGCCTTTGTTTAAAAGTTCCATTTAAAGCTTGCCACAAACCATGTAGGGGACACGGTAAACATGTGAAAGAAGGTGCTCTGGTCAGATGAGACTAAAGGAGGGGTGTCCAAAATGCGGCCTGGGGATTATTTGCTGCCCATGGAATGATTTTGTGTGGCCTTCTAAACAAAGAAAATTGAAAAGATTTTGGAAATTGTATGCCTTTTTTTTCCTAAATTGGGAACATGTGAGTTTGTTTTGTCATGTTTTTGATACACAATGATTACTGAAGTAACATTGTTCATTTCATTAAAATGAGTATTTATTAATTGTTGAACAGGTTTAGATAAAAAAAAAATCACTCATATTTTCTTTATTTTTGATAACGAAAAGGTTCCAAGGACAGTTCTAAACGTATTGATGTGGACTAAATACAAATGCAGGCCACACATATCAGATTTTTAGTCTGTAAATACTTAAGAAAGTATCTTTTTCCACCACTTCAGAATTTTGGCACTACTTTATGTTGGTCTGTCACATAAAATCCCAATAAAATATATTCAGGTCTGAAGTTGAACTTCACAAAATGTCCCCTGAGCATTAATACTTTGGCCTGAAATTTTATCATAAAAAAGATCAAAGACTGAGTCAGTGCAATGATGGCTTTGTT